TCCCTCAATTTCTTATAGAAAAGAAAAATTGATGAGTTATGGGTTTAAGTTCATGCTCCCATAATAAATAAGTAACACAATGGGGAACAGAGATATGCACAAACCTGACTGAGAATTCCAGGCACCACCGCCATCTTCTGAGAAAAAGTGCATCTCACTTATCTCAGGGGAAGAAGGCATTTCAAGAACAGGTAACTCTTCAACGTCATCATAGCCATTCTCTGTGATAACAGCATGCTGTGCTAGAGTTTCTGAAAACAGACAATGAATAAGGTGGAAGAGCAAAATATGGATCAGGCAAGACTATGTAAGTGTCTTCAAATGCAGAGAATCTAGTGACCAACTATAGCCACCATGTTTCAAGGTTGCTAAATGGCAGATATGTGATACTAGTATTTTTAGAAACCATTAAATCATTAAAACATTATAATAAATTAAGGTAAATATTATTTTATTAAAATATCCTATAATTCCAGAATACATTAACCGATTTGTTCCCTGAGTTGCAAGTACTATGTAATGGTTATAAGCTAGATTAAAGCATGTGATATGTACATACTCAAGACTAAAGGAGATGAATCTGAAAGAAAAAAATCCAGACTATTCAGGTAGGTCTTTTTGTACCAAGAACTCAAGTCAGGAGCTTGTGCTTGCCAGGTAGGTGCTATATTGCTGAGTGATATTGCTGGTCTTATCCATATACTTTCTGAAGCATTAGGGCATGTAGAATCACGAGCGAGAAGAAGGCCTTGTTTGTGTAGCACTGAGATAGACAGTTTTACTCCCAATTAAGTAATCTTGATTTCAGTGCTTATTAGTACTGTTCTTACATTTGAATCTAATCTCCATAGAGCCTTTCCACATGTGACTCATCCTGCTATCCATTTTTGCAGCTTGGAAAATTTCCAGTGTGGACAATCTCCATTGTTTGAATTTTTGTAAAGAAGAGCTCTGGGTAGATGGTAGCTATAGGTTCTATGCACTCCATGTATTTTAGTTAATTCTTAAGCTACCTTTAAAAAATTCTCAATATTAATATAAAACATGAATGACTGGTTTGCCACCCTATGCTAAAGTAAACCAGTATAGAGTGTTGTTTATCATCATGTTTTTTTTTAGTGTTGTAATGCTATTTTTGAAAAAAAAATATTTTTGAATTTTTGGTAGTATATTTTTTTGTATATTTGTGGCTCCGTAGAATTTTCTTGGGTGGCAAAGAACATAGAGCAGTACTTTTCCTATTCCACAATCATGGTTTAAGCAACAAAAGCACATTTTTTTACTCTGGAGAGAAGTAATCATCTCCATCCTAATCACAGGAGAGCATTCTCCACAGATAAGACTCCTCCTTCTCCCATAACCTATAACAGAAGACTTGCCTCTACTACCTGGGGTAGACTCAGGTTCTCCATTTTCCTCCTTTTCCTCTGTGTAATAGGGGAGCTTAGTCATGGAGTCCTCAAACACGTTTCCTGATTGGGAGAAAAACATCAGACAGACACAGAGACAGAAGTGTAAGATTACAGTTCAGAGGGATTTTGAGTTTCCACACTTGCAGAGCAAGGGAATAGAGTTTCTACCTTAGGAAAAGGCTGACTATGGAAAGTTAGATTACATCTTTAATTTGTAAAGCTTTTGTAAATAATAAGAAGTGGGTTTTAAATGGGGGAGAGCAATGGGAGACATGTAGTATCAACACATATCAGGTACAAGTACAAATTCTATATGGTGAATATTATCACTGTGTATGATTAAAATGCACCAATAAAACTGACTTAAAAATTTTAGTTCCTGAAAACACCAAAACCAAAGCCAACTCATGACTACAAAAGAACATAAGGTACATACCTGAGCTTATAAGCAGTTCCTCCTTCTGTGGTTTTACGAGGTAATCTATCTCCTCATAAAAGGCCTCATCCAGAGGATCTTCAAAAGTAGAAAAGGCTGAAGAAAGTCATATGAGTCTAAGGATTGTTCCTGGAGGCATTTCCTCAACAACAGAAAATATCTGTCTTTCCCTATACTTAGCTTTATGGACATGTCTCTGGACTGAAAGATTACTACATTTGTATAGTGCTCCTTTGGGACAGAAGTAGGTTTTCTGACCATACATGCATCCTGTGTCCAAGAAAACTCTCACTATCCACATGGAAAAAGTAATTTTTAGAGTACCATATTCAACTCATATTCCAATAATTTCAATCTTTAAATGTGATTAAAAGAAAATATTTTTCAGATAATGAAAACATGGATTTAAGCATGACTACTACCTATAAGTCACACTATGTATGATGCTTCCTGTTATGGATTATATATATAACATCACCCCAAAGACCGATGTTCTGAGATCAGGCCCTATGAAATGGGATGGGTTCACTGTGGGACTGACTTGAAGAGGTGTATTCTTGTGTCTTCCCCCGCACTTTTCTTTGATTCCTCACATCTATGTATGCCATTGTGTCATAGTTTTTACCCTGGAGTCAGCTAGCCATAGACTAAATCCAATTAAACTGTGAGCCAAAATACAACTTATGCCCCTTCAAGTTGCAGGTGTTTGATCATTCTGCTCTAGGAATGCAAAACTGACAAGCAGAAAATTGTCACACACAGTACATTTCTGTCAGTGCACGTGACTACATATTTCAGAGCCTTTCAACCTGGTTTCCTTGAGAAATGTGGAAAGATTTGGAGTTACCAGCTAAAGAAGCCTTAGAATGCTGAAAGCAGTGTAAGAAAAGATTGATGGGAAAATCTTCTCAGAGTTCAGAAGACCAGAATGATGTTAGGAATGTAGGTCAAAGCACAAACTCAAAAGGATTCATTTTGAAAAAGTATAACTTTTTACAGTGATAGAATACTTGTATGTTATCGTCTAGCAGAACACTTTTCCTTTCCTAAGACTTTGTGGGGACTGAGATTATGGGTGTTGAATCTATTAACCTGGCTGAAGAAATTTTAAGGAAAGTAGTATTTAGGCTAAAGCATAAGTATACCTGGCTGCTGTTTAAGAACATTTACAGTTAGAATGAGGATCAGTAAAGGATCTGCTGAATGATCTAAAAAATTTCAAGTTCTCAGGAAAGGTGTGGCCAGTATAGTTGGTGTCAAAGAGAGAAGGGATGGCTCCTGAGAAGATTAGCATTAAAAAGAAAACAATGCTTTGCATCATTTTCAAAGGAAAAGTTGTAATGAAAGCATATCAGTAATAGTAAGATCCCACCTATCTTAGGTTCAAAACTGTAACGTTTTAATTCAAGAAGAAGAGAGTCCTTGGGACTCCTGCTTAAAAAGGGCCTCCTATAGAAATGGTTGTCTGCAATTCTTTTCAGTTTGCCCAGCCATCTAGATACTCAGGTTTCACTGTATCATTTTCCATGGATACAAGACTTCTTAGTCTATGGTAAACCTTGGTATAATCCATATTTGCAGGCGTGTAGGCTGCTAGAATATAGGATTATGAGATTTCTATGCTTATTTTAAAGGAATCCAAAGAAAGCAGTGTGTGAAGCTGAAAGTGAAATTAAAGGTAGAGTGGAGACTGGAAAGCTAGAGATGCCAGGAACACAAAATCCATGCCAAATAAAGCCATAGGCAGTAACTGTAGCCAAATCAAGAGAAAGGTCTTATAGGCTACAACCTTTGGTTCAGGTTCACAGTTTATCACAGCTTCTCCCAGGCATTGAACATGGAACAGGTTTTAATGTTTGGTCTACTCAGTTATGTTTGTGCTTTGATTTCATTCCTTTATATCCCCTATCCCTCCCTTTCAGAATGGGCATATTTACATATATTGTAGAAGTATTTTATTTTTATTTTTGTTTTCACAGCAACTCAGAGATAAAAGTTGCCTTGAGTCTGAGGAGATTATGGACTTGAACTTATCAAATATGCTGGCACTGTTAAGATACTAGTGACTCTAAGAGATATACTTTGTTCATTTTGCATAAGATGCATATGAGGCTTTGCAAGACAACAGGTTGAATGTCAGGGATTAGATAAACAATGTCTGCCATAATTCTCATGTGTCAGTGTCACAAGGACCTAGGTTTGTTAATGTTCATATCAACTAAAGAGTTCATAGCTGACTATGGGTCTGGTGGAAGAAGCAGGATCCCTGCCTTTAGAGGAATACCTCCTCACCAGTTCCTCCCTTTTTATTTTGCTTGCTGCCACACAAAGTAAACAGATTCCTTCTGCAAGGATCTTTTGCCATATAGTTTCTATATTGAAGCTAACCAGCCATGGGTTAAAATTCACTGAAAGTGTGAGATGAAATAATCCTCTCCTTCAGTAAAGCTGTGAGAAATAGATATATTTTTTACAGTGATGGGAAAGTCACCAACACTTTCACCATATAAATTCCAGGTTATCAATAACCTGAAGCCCCACCTCGGATCACTGTTTTCCATCTGCGCATCTGAGTCCCCAGGACAATGAGAACCAGAAGGAGGAGGGCTCCCAGGATGATGCAGATTATCACAGGTAAAGAACAGAAACCTGGAACAGGTGTTGAGCCTGAGCTGTTGCCTGAGAATGAAAAGAGGCTGTCAGTCTTTAGAGAGGGTCAAAGGTCTATTTTCTTGGATGAGGATCTCTCTAAAATAAATTTGTGTTACCCTGGAAGCCCGTACTTAATTAAATTTCATGGTTACTTTGAAAACTTGACCATGCAGCCTATTGCAGTACTGCATAAATATGTAGACTCTCTATTGCTTATGCTTGAACTTCTAACCATGTTTCTATGGCCTGGCTCAAGACAGAATAACTGTTTACTTCTATCAATGGGGAATACTGCTGTTCTTTCATCTAAAGAGAAAATAAAGAAAATTTAGAATCACACCACTTTGTTAGTTGCACAGTCACACCATCAGTGCATGTTTCTCTCCCTACACCAGGAGTTTAGACAACAGCCTTTTCTGAACCATAGCATAAATCAGAGGCCAGATTTGAACACACACATTTCCACTGCCTACCCCATGCCCCAAGCTTTGCTCACTCACCTGAGCACCTCACACCTGCATCCTCGTCATGCTTGCAGTCACTCTGTCCCCAGGGTGCCCTGGCACAGGTCCACAGGGAGGACTCCCTGCCTTTGCAATGCAACTCATCCAGCCAGATGCTTCCATTTCCAGGGCCAAATGCAGCCTTTTCCAGGGCCTCCAGGGCATGGCCACAGCCCAGCTGCTGACACACCACCTCAGCCTCTGCCAGATCCCAGGAGTCATCACACACAGTGCCCCACGAACCTTCGTGCCACACCTCCACGCGTCCTGAGCACTTACTGTCTCCTTCTCTGAGCCTCAGTTTCTGTCTGTCTGGAAAGGCAGCAACAACTCCTCTTATTGCATTGGTGGAGGGAAGGAGCCCATAGGGAATACAAGGATACAAGGAGGGGCTGAGGTACCTGTGCAGGGGGCAGACGCTGGACAGCTGTTAGGTCTCAGTCCTACAGAAGGAGACAGTGGAATAGCACTGAGTCAAGAGTGGCTGTTCTTGGTCCTCTTCCAAAACAAAGATCTCTAAATCTTGAGTCTAATTCAGATGTTGATGATATACAACATCCTGTAAAATTAGTTTAGCTATTTGCTTGCTGACAAGAGGTCCATATATTTATCAACATTTCAAATTATTATTTTCATTTCATTTGCATAACACTCTCTACATTCCCACACCAAACATAAACTCAAATTTGCACAGATACATATACAGATCTGAAATCAAGCTCCATTAGAGGAAAGACCACACAAGTCCCAATTCCTTTCTTCCTGTTTTAGGACAGTGTCTATCACAGAGGTCTATGTTATCAATAAAAAAGTACAGAGAATCTGCTCTGTATGCTATGAATAGGAACTTGTAAATTTTTATTGAATGAATGACTAGAAGTATTAATCCTTCTAAATTTAATTCATTTCACTTCTTGATATTCAGAAAGAGAATAGAAATGAATGGCACTTATTTGTAGTAATATATATTGAACATTGATATATAATTTTAATTATTCACAAAAGCAGTTTGTATTCAAAATTTCATGAAGATTTAATGAACTTTGTAAAAGTTACAAAGTAACAAAAATTATAATTCTGTAAGAAGAAGAGAATAAGTAAGGTCCAATGGAAAAACAGCTAATTGGACAATTGCTAGCAGATAAGGTGAGTTCCAGATAACTTAAAGTTCCTGAGCTAAACTAATACATGACAGGACCCTGAGATGCTGACAAAGAAATTACACAAAACAACTGAATTCATTAGAAAGGTATAGGTAATTCGAGTATATACATGGAACTTGTTCAAAATTATCGGAATTGTACACATTTTCTATACTGTCCTATCATATCTCCTCCCTACTGAAATAAATGAATGGATTTTTTTGCAGTGTTTGTGAAAGGAAAAAAAAAGCTGTTTAAGAAAAAATTTTTTTAAAACTTTGTTCTTTTGAAACTGCCTAGCTCTGTAACTGCTTCATGACTTTGTAATTACATTCTTGACCCCTTTAACCACAAAAATACAACCAAACGTATAGGACGACCGTTGTACCATTGTACCAAGCTTCATAAACTGATCTATCCTTGTAACTGATGATTTCCGCTTGTTGGCTAATTAGAACTTCCAGGCTGTTCTGTCTCATCTTTGTAATTCACCTCTTCCTTGTGCATTGTATGTAAACCCTAGGTCACTAGAAATTGGGACCTGATATTCTGGGAATGATCTTGACCAGTACACATCAAAATAAATACATTTCCTCCAAATCCTGAGTGTCATTTTGATGCTCCTGCTTGCTCTTCCTTTTGCTCAATTTAAATGTTAAAAATTTTACAACCTCATTTTCATGTTCTTAAAAACAAAACAAAACAAGGATAAAAATGATACAGAGTTTCAAAAAATAGTAAATTAAAACTAGTTAATATATTTCAAATTGTTTTCTTGAAATAGGTGTTCAAATTACAAGATGTAGGCATGAAATAAAGAATAAGATGTGAAAGAAAACAACTATCAACCCAGATTGATGTATACTGAAAAACTATCTTTCTCCATGTCTTTTTATATAAAAAACATTACTAAGGCGTTATGTTTTATGCTTGTATGTCCTTCCCAAAGTTTAATGCAGTCATGAAGGGGCAGGCTTTTGGAGGCAACTGAAGTTAGTTTGTGTTGACTCGCAGTTCAATGTTGGGAGTAAGATTATTGGGGTTAAGGCTGGGTGAATTCTGCATCAATTCACTGACAGTATTTGCACCACTCTATTCCTAGTAGCCTGGATACCATGTAAGGGACAGGAAGAGGATTTTTTTTTTTCTCTTTGCCCTTGCTTTTGCTGTCTTCTGTCACCATGAACTGTTACCACTTTCCATGAGTTACCCTGCCTTGGAGCCAGCCTATTATGAACTGAGACCTTTACGAACTGTGAGGTAAAAAATTTTCCTGCTTTAACTTTGGGCATTGGGTATTTTGTCTCAGTAACAAGAGAAAAGCAGCTAAGGCAGAAGACATACACTATTACTTTAATTACTTTCAGTTTCCACAGGGAAAAGACAAAAAAGTGAGGAAAGAGAGTCAATGAAGAATACAAACATTTGTGAAATATTTTTATATTGCTATCTACTGTGATCTTCCAAGATGTCTTAGCACATTAACAATAATATGTAATATTTTGAAAATAATAATTTGCAAAGAAATAAAAAAAGGGATGTTGTCAATGTCTACATTTTTATGGATAAATTAATTTTGATACGTTTCTCCAAAATAATTAACTATATATAACAGGGTAATATTAGTGGATAGGAAGTGATGTGATATGATGAACTTGTCTTTTTAACTTTTTACATATTTTTTGACATACAATAAGTGAATCATAATTTGTATTTTAAGTGAAAAAGAAAGGGAATGGTTTTTCTTGAAACATTAAACAACTGGTGTGGAAATCATAAACTCGCTAGAGCTCAGCAGCTCCAAACCCAGTAACTGCAAATGTGCCCATTTCAGGAAGAGAAAGAGGCACAGGTCAAAAAGAAGCTGGACTGGCCACAACTCCCTGCCTCCAATGCCCTTTTACCAGCAGATTGCCTCATGAACATCCTGGGGACCTGGCTTGGGTGAGGCACTGTATTAGAGTGAAAACAAGCCAACTCTTTACAATCTTCACTCATTTGTTAGAGGAGCTTACAGAGCATCTCCTCTGTTTTCTCTAGTAAACACCTGAAAATCTGAGAACAACCTGCTTTCATGTTGCCTTGCATAGATGCTGAATAGGATAGTTATATATATGCCCTGTTACATAGCTTCCAAATGCTTTTGCACCTGAGATACAGGATGACATGTGCCACTGTCACCTCTGAAGTGATGTCAGCCTGTCATACATCACATTAATCAATTTGGTAATTGAAGTATATTTCCACCATGAAATAGGTAATAATATATTGTAAAACAGAATACTAGAGAGGAAGCCACTAGAGACCAGTGAAATAATTCAAACATCTAAGATAATAGTGATATTGAAGAGGTAGAAGGATTAGGGAGCTAGTTTTAGATAGAAATAAAATAACTTCCAATTATATTGAAATGGGAAGGAAAGAAAAGGAGAAATGACGGTGAACTGAGTCTGGCAATAAATGAAAAGAGAGATACTGAAACTAAAGTTGGTTAAAAAAAGTGAGAGGCAGAAACTGAGTGTGTAGAATTAATCATTTTATTTTACAAACTAAATTCGAGGTGCTTTTTAGGTATCAAGTGATAACATCTGTCAATAATGAGATGCCAGTTTGGAATTCAGGGCAAAATGGATTGTGGAAGTTTACATTTAGGAGCTGCTGACAAGAAGACAGCATCTGAAATCCAGGGACTCAGAGATATCTTCTGGGGTAGGAGCATCAGGAAAGAAGATTTAGAGAGTCAGAGGCTCTGCCCTTTGTGGGTCTCAATACAGCAGTTGACCAGAGAAGTTGTGGCCCAAGAAGATAAAATAAGAAAAGCAACTGATAAGGCTGAGTGATCAGAAGGAAAAATGTAAGGGAGAGACTGTCAAGTTGTTGCATACTGCTTGGAAGTCAATAATAATTAGAAAATAATTCTCTGCTATGTTTTTATTTTCTTACTGATTCTGAGGAGTAGCAGAGTCTAAGCTTTAATTGGAAGAACTTGCACACTACCTGCTACAAAAGTCAATGAAGCAAACAATTCTTTTTGGAGGTTTGGAGGTTTCCCTCATGAGTAGGGAAAAGAGTTGAGTAAGACTGCCATTTACTCTTTGCTCTAAAAATTTTCTCAACACCTCAAAAGCACTGTGAATTTTGAGATCCTATCTCTAATTTTCATTGCTAAGAAAGTTTACCAGAGAATTCTTTTATGCTTCAAATGCTCGATTCAGTCTCCCTGGTACTTTTCAAAAAGATTGCTGTCAGCAGATACATCTCTATTTCTACTTTAGAAACAAGAAAGGAATCTATGGACTAAATAATCTAAAATTCAAAATTCATTTTTTAGTATATTGAAACTCAATGGTTGCGCGAAAAGACATGAAATTTTCCTAATAGAAACCTATGGATGTGATACAGATGTATATAAATAGATAGTAGATCACCTGTGCATGTCACATATGCTGAGTCCCTTGGAAGGCAAGACTTTTGTTTCCAAGTATCAGAAGGACATGCCCAGAGAGACGCATCAGTTTTCCGACACTGGATTCCATCCACCCACTGGGGTCTAGAACCTTCCCTGGCAGGAACAGAAGTGTTGAGGATCCCACTGTCCCCACAGCCAAGCTGTCTGCAGATCACGGATAAAGTCACATCTTCCATGGGACTGCGACAGACACTGCCCCAGGTTCCATTGTAGAAAATCTCCAGCCACCCGGAGCACTCCTGGTCCTTGCTCACCATCCTGAGATCCAGGAATTCTGAAACAGAATTGGGAACAGAAATCAGGCAACACTTAGTGCACTTTTTACTTATAAGGAGTGAAAAGTCATTGTTGGCTATGCTGAGAAGATAAACTTTATGTGAAATTACTGGGGCTTCTTTACCTTTCACCTATTTTGCAGTCCTGAATCAGTTTACTGGATAATTGCCACAGTGAGATAGAGAAAAATGAAAGGTAGAGATGAGGGTTCTTCTGGGAGCAAAAGCTAAATCCTGAATAAACATCTGAAAGACTCTGGAGTGTAGTAAGGGCCATTGAAGGAAAGCAGTTTAGTGGCGCACTGAATATTTCACATCCTGAATTTAGCATCTATAAATGCATTTCTTACTTGGTGAAAGCAGTTTAGTGGCGCACTGAATATTTCACATCCTGAATTTAGCATCTATAAATGCATTTCTTACTTGGTGAAAGGGTTTTGCAAATCAGATTACGTGAAGGTCTTTCCCTTTGAGATTATCCTGGTAATCTCAAAAGTTAGATTCCTGGATCAACTAGATGATCCCAACTGCATAATATTATTATACTACATTCTTACTATCAGATCACTCTTTTATGATGTTGGTTACCCGAAGGCGTTACCATGTAAGAATGACCATAGTATTGTAAGGCATCTGAAGGCATTTGAAGGAGCTAAGGAATGCAGGAAGTTTCAAAACATTAGAAAAGATATGGATATAAATCTTCTCCTAGCATCAGAGGAGTATAAGCCTGCTGACACCTTGCATTCAGCCCAATCAGATGTGGGTCAGTTTTCTACCTAAATAAATTTAACATAATAATTCATGTTGACTGAGGTTACTAACTGTACGGTAATTTGTTACAGCAGCAATAAAATCTAATATAGTGGGACTCAACATTTGTATCCACAGGGAACTGATGAAGACTATAGTAATGACTGTCAGGTGACAGAGATGAGAAGGAAGGACAACAAGCTTAACTGAAAGATGAAGTAATAGCATGTCCTCTTCTCTTTCACTAGACAGAAAAACACCTGGGAGGGAGCCTTCCTCCAAAGCTCTCATTGTACCGACAGAGGCCATCCTGGAGACCCTCCCACAGCCATTCATCTGTGGACAAGGTGAGCACAGACCTGAGCAGATGACACCTGCATCCTCCTTGTGCCTGCAGTCATGCTGTTCCCAGCCGTGGGAAGGGCAGTCCCACACATGGGACTCCTCTCCTCTGCAGTTCAGCTCATCCAGCCAGATGGGCCCTGACCCATGGCTGAAGTGAGCAGAGACTGTGGCATTAAGGGCCACACCACAGCTCAGCTGTCTGCACACCACATGGGCATCACTCAGGTCCCAGCTGTCATCACAGATGGTGCCCCAGGATCCCTGATGCAGGATCTCCACTCTCCCTGCACAGCGACTGCCCCCATTCACCAGCCGCAGTCTGTTGTCTGAGGAGACACAGTTGGGTCAGCTGTGCTGAGGCAGATAGGAGAAGATATTTTCCTGCAGATGTCCTCACCTGAGCAGTTGACATCCTGTACCTCTGAGGCTGTGGAATGTGTTGAATCCGACAGGGAGTCCTTGCATTGGGGTACAGTCTCACTCTGGTTTCCTATACATAGGACAAAAGAGCAGGAACCTGAGTTACATTAAGGATGTTTAGCGATGATATCTGAGACAGCAGCTGTGAAACAGGGGCAGTTAATTTCTGTCTTCAGAGCTCAACTTCTACATGGAGATATTTATTATTGACTAGACCAGACTTTTGGGTTGAAGTCAAATACTAAAAAGACTAGGAAAGCAAGAATATCACTTTTGAGAATAATGTTATTTGAAATAAATATATAGTTCCTAAGACAGGAAGTATTTTTCATCCAAAATGTCATTGAGATATAATGGGCCAGGGGAGCCCTCTTCCCCTGAGAAATGTACTCATTCACAAGTAATTGCTAAGACATGAGGTATCAACAGAGTAGTCAACAGATTCACAGTGCTTGGGATTTCAAAGTTGACTGAAGAGAATCACATATGTTGGTTAAAAAACCAGATAGTTTAAGCAGGATAAAATAGGTGAAAATCAAATATGTAAGTCACATAACCAAAGATGAACTAAAAGTGTGTTATAATTCTAAAGAATGAATGTGTAATTTCTAACCACTTCATTTATTTTTGAGAACATTTTTTGTGTGGTACTGGGAATGGAACTCAGAACCTTGTGCTTGTCAGAAAGGGGTTTCTGCCACTGAGCTATTTCCCAGGCCCCTTCATTTATAATTGAATAAAGTGATTTACCCTTAAATTTCTTTGCCTTTCAGAAGAACATTTAACCCTTTTCAGAAGTATTTCTATGTTTTTAAACTAAAATATACATCAACCAAAAGTATACTTAATGAGAATTTCTAGGAAAACAAAGAAAATTTTTTCATGTAATTTCCCACTCTTGCAGTTACTTCAGGGACTTTACATTACTGTGATTAAAATTCCAAATACCCTCAAAGAATATGAGCATTGTATGTCATAAACATTGCTAACAATGAAAATAACATTGAAAATGAATATATGTAAAAGAGATGTAAAGTTGAGCCAGGGAGGTGACTGGAAAGGGAAGGGGAATAAAAAAGAATTAAGCTGTGTTATATACGTGGACCTACTCTCAAATTTAATATATTCTTCAACACTGCAAACGTACTAATAAAATAAAACAACATTAAAAATAAATGCAACGTTAAGAAAATAAAATGATATTTTACAAAGCTTGGCAGATAAATTAAATAAAAAATTGAAGAAAAATTTCTCATTGAAATAATCTACTACCAAAATTAAAAATTTGTAGTTGGAATTTAACAGTTCATCTAGATTATAGCAAGATAGAAACAATGTAATGGAACAATGTAATGGAAGAAAAGTAGAAATACAAGAAAGCACAGAACAGCAGAAGATTAGGAAATATATAAGACAAATAACAGAAAGAGGGGAAGACTTAAGATTACTGCATAATTGTTCAGGATTCAGGCACATAACTGGGATAGTAAAAGCAGAAAGTAGAAAAACGCATAATATGACATGCTTAATGCATCTGTGGTTTTTAATCAGACCCACAGAATCTGTGATCCAGCATCCTTTGATAGGTGAACTTTGTTATTCTTCCTTTGAATCTGGATTGATCTCTGAGAATTGCTAACAAGCAAAGCATGTAGTGGAGCCATGTTTAGTGTAGCACTACTCATAGTTACTAAGGTACAGGATCGACAGAGGCTCTCAACAGCAGGGAAATGAATATCATGTGAATGTATATGCAATAAATAATAATACAATTATGTTATTTACAACAAAATGGATGGAATTGAAAAACATCATGAGAAATAAAATATGCCAGACATATAAAGAAAGGTACCAAAATTAATTGTCAAATGTAAAAGCTTAAAACCTACTGACTTTAGTGGACTTGTCTCTGTTTACTACAGGCAGAAGGTAGTACTCAAAGTAGAAAGTAGTACTCATAGCAGTAAACAAAAATAATTAATATTTACAATTTGTCTTGTACAACAATGTAAGAAAAACTCGATATGCTGTGGTAATTTTTAAAAATATTTTCTTTTTAATGTGTACTTTTCAAAGAAGCCAAAGCCAAATTGCATTTATGTAGGATAGACTTAAATGTCGACTGACTGTGCTATTATAGTATTTATTATTTTATTTATGGCCAATGTTCAAGCAGCGAACAATATATACTATTCTAGGTCTGTATCCTTCAAAATAACAATTTCTTCAGACACAAAGAAAGATTTCATGCATTTCATTCACATGAAAATTACTAAGAACAGATAACAAGTGAATTAAACAAAACTGCTTGAATTATTTACTGAATAAAATATGCTTGGGGAAATGAATAAAATCTGGATAAGACCATCTATTATCACAAGGTTAAATTGTATCATTTGGCAGTCACGCATGAGGAAAAATTTTAGGAACAAATGGACATCATACCAGTCACACTTATTTAATTGGTCATTCAGAAACCACACATACTCAGTGAGGGATGTGGCAGGTCAAGCCACAGAGTATAGTAAGTATAGGACAATATTAATAATTGAGAATATGAGGAGACATATGCTTACAACTTGTCTACAACTCTGAAATTTTATGATAGCTATTTAAAAGAAAAACAAACAAGAAAATTTAAAACAAGCTTAAAATCCACCACTAAGAAATTTCACTGAAATCAATATGAATAGTATCAAAATCATTAAACCGAAGGAAACCCAATAAAAGTATTTAAAAACTCTACGATAATATTAAGACCTAAATGAATGGAGGTCTAGGGTATGTAAATGAATGTGGGGTCTCAATATTACTAGTTAATCATCTCTAAATTCATATAGTGGTTAAATTGATTCTTATTCAGTATAAAAATGTGTTTTTGAACTAATTATGTCTAGGTGATTTTGCATTTTATATGGGCCAAGAATGACTAGCACATTCAACAAAAAAGACTAGAAACTCTTTTCAGTTGTGTGAACATAGTGTAAATTTATAATAATTAAGATAATATGGTATTAGGAAAAAGACAGACACAAGATATATTGGAATAGAAAAGAATATAGAAACAGAATGAGTGATACATGCACAGTTTTTGAAAATGTTGTAACTACAGGGAGAGAGGAAAGTACTCAGACTCAGGTAAATCTAAGCAAGCATAAGTGCACACCATACACAGGATCAATGCAGAGTATAAAATTAGATGCAAAGGAAAATGATTAAATATGCTTAGTGAATATTTTTAATGATTTCATACTAGGTAAATTCCTTTACATAATAAACAACAGCACTAAGAATATAGGAAAATGTTGATAAGTTTGGCTTCATTAAGATTAAGAATTTGATTTTGAAAAAGACCATGTCATTTAGAGAGTTAAAATAAAGAAGTTAACAACTGAAAATAAATAAATATGTATTTGGATTCAAAATAATTCCCATGGTAATCTATAGCCTCATTATTTGTAATATTCAAGAATTTGAAACCACTGAAATCTCTACCATAATTTCAATAGAAACATTTGGTGGAATAATATAAAACAATAGATACATTCTTTGTTCTTCTGATCACACCTAAATTGCCATCCACTTTAAAATTAGCATAGCTACTCTTACCTTTTTCCAGGTTTCTGTTGCATGGAGTATTGTTTCCCATTCTTTGACTCTTAGTCTGATTTTTGTTTTGGGTTGAATATTTTGTGCATGCATCATATTGTTGGCTCTTGTTTCTTGATGCATTTGCTAATTTTTTGTGGATTGGTAAATTGAGATGATCATATTGATGCTTATTACTGATTGGTATTGACTTATTTTCTTCTTGTTGATCTCTTTCTTTTCTGGCTATTTAATTGCTTACCTTGCCTCAGTGTTTCAATCCATTGGGCATTTTGACATTTTTATCATCATTGTCTCTTTCTAGGATATTCTTGAAAAGTTTTCATTGTGTTGGATGGGTGATCATGGATTTCTTTATGTCTTTTTTATCATGCAAGTATCTTATTTTGCCATCAATTTGGAAACATAATTTTTGGAGATATATCAGTTCATGTTGGAAATTGTTTTGGAGGCTTAAGACACTTCACTTTGATCTTTGTGTTCACTTTGAACTTTGATCTTTGTGTTGAGAAGTCTGCTATAACTCTCATAGGTGATCCTTCACAGGTGATTTATTTATTTAACAGTTTTTAAGATTCTGCTGTTGTGTTGAATTTCTAGAATATTTCTATTCTGTGCCTTGGTCTTTTTTTTCGATCAGGGCTATTTGGGGTTCTATATGTCTTACTTATCTGAATGTTAAATTGTTAGAAAGTTTTTGTGCTATTGCTTACATAAATAAGATTTTAATGCTCTTTATACTATCATTTCATTTTTCATTTATTTCAATTAATCTTATATTAGTTTCTTTGTATCATCTAGCAGTTGCTGGATCAAATTGTCATTAGCCCTTGCTTATATTACAGGGATCTATCTTTAGTTTATCAACAATCACAAATCTGCATTGTAGATCTAATATTCTGCCTTCACATTTGTATATTCTTCTGTGTAAACTTCAAAATAATTTTTGCTCTCCAGTATTTCTATCTGTGACTTCTTAAAGATTTCTGTTCTTTATTATGTCGAGCATTCATGGTTTGCCTGTCTTTTGTTAACTATTCATCAGTATCTTCTTTAGACTCAGTATTCATTTGTTTTACTAGGGCCATTATCTCTTTATCTGTGCATTTATGTTTGCTTTGAATTTGCCAAAATTCTTATTGATCTCTTTTGTTACTTCCATTTCTATCATTTCAGATATTTCACATGTAGCTAAAATTAATGATGTTCGGGCAACAGCAATAGCAACATAAATCCCAAGCATAATTTTGAGACAAAGAAGTCTTCAGGGTACACACTCGGTTTTTAAATTAAAAAATGTGTTTTAAATAAGCTTGTAAAGAAGTCTTCAGGGTACACACTAGGTTTTTAAATTTAAAAAAATGTGTTTTAAATAAGCTTGTCCCTTAATGGGACAAGTTAAAATGCTTTCTTCGCACAAGACGGGAACACACTGATTGGAGAGATTTATCGGTTATTACTTGAAGGAAGGGCTAATGTTTTTTTTTTTTTTTTTTTTTTTTTTTTTTTTTGGAGATCTGGGTAAATGTGCCTAACACAGTTTTATATTTATTTTACACATTTTTTGTATGCAGTGAAATTAAATAATAACATGTATTTTAAGTGTTTCTTTGAATATTCTTTGCCTTGATCTGAATGCTTAATGATAAGTAAGAAGATTGTCACTATAGTTTTGAAGTCAGTTTGACCTGATATCTGTTCCAGGAGATGTGGGACTTCAGGAGAATCTGAGTTACTTAGTTACTTACACTGGCTACTTTCTTACCTGAGCAGACCACAGAGGCTGTGTTCCCATGGGCACAGGCAGGAACACCCAGGGCAGTCACAAGACAACTCCACAAGAACGACTCATCCCCTGAGCAGTGGAATTGGTCTTTCCAGATCTCATCCCTTTCTTCCACAAAGTATGCTCCTTTTGGGGTGGAGACAGCCACTCCACAACCCAGCTGTCGGCACACAACATCAGCATTGGCCATGCTCCAGTGGGAGGCACAGAGCGCTCTCCAGCCCACAGAAGTTTTCACCTCTACTTGACCCTCACACTGAGATGTACTGTTTTTCATGAGCTGGACTTCAGTAAACTCTAGCAGAACAAGACAATATTTCAGGCACATCTAATATTTTTCTTTCTACAGCAGTATATTGAGGAAGGTTCAATTCATGCTGATGGTCTCACCTGAACAAATGATTTCAACAGTCCTCCCATGGTAGCAGCTGCATCTGGGGCATGGGATTGTGGGGCAGAACTGCAGCTTGGCCTCCTGCCCTCCACATAGGAACTGCTCAGCCCATACCTGTCCAGTGTCCTCTCTAAATGGCACATCTCCCCGGACTGATGCAGCCTTGCCACACCCCAGCTCTGCACAGATGACCTGGGCAGTGGGGAAAGTGAAGTTCACATCAGATACTGGAATCCAACTTCCTCCAGATTTCACTTCTACTTGTCCTGAGCAGGGCCCTTCTCCAACCAGACGCCAGTATCCTAAAGGAGGCAAAATAATAACATTAATAATTATAATAATATTAATAAATTAAATAAAAAATTAAGAGAATAGAAAAAATGTGAGTATCCAGATCTGGAATCTGATAGCATCATATGACAGTCAATAATATGAAAGTTTCTTTTTTCCAACGGTTGGATATGTGAAGAAGATTCAGCAGGTGGATTGATAATGAGTCTTGCATGTGAACTGTCTAAAACCAAATTCAGACGGAATATGCAGGTTGCTTCTTAATGGCTGAATCCCAGGAATAGACAGACTAAACATAGCTATGTTTATAGATGTAGACGTAAATGTAGATGTAGATATATAGATATAGGTATAAGTCTAGATATATTTATAAAGACATGTTAGCCTCTTTTCCTATGTATCATGTCTGCATGTCTTTTTGTGACAGTCTACTTCATTTTGTAATTTATGTGTAATTCATGAAGTATAATCTTAATGTAAAAAAGAAGATGCTTGTATAAAACACTTATAAATATCTTTTAATGTCCATATTGTAATGATAACATAGTTAATCAGTAATTTTGACATTTATGCATATCTTAACATTCACATTTATTTCCATTTTGACATAAGAAAATTGTGCACTAAATGTTTTGATGCTGAGGGATAATCTAGATTCATTACAAAATGATGTCTATTATTTAAGCAGAAAGAAAAATTAGAAGCTGCATCTGAAGAGATTAAGGCATTGTGCAATCTCTCTCTCTCTCTCTCCTTTCATTTTTGAGAGACATTTTTTGCTCCTAGAAAGTAATATATGAATGTCCATGTAGTTACATGTTAAAGATGATCAGAGAGAAATTTCAAGTTTGAGTTTAGAGCTTTTAGGAACCATTTGAATACAGATAAAGACTTACTCTGTAACAGTATTTGTAAAAAGAATTCCAGGATGGATAGCTTTTCTCAACAGAAAAATAAATGGGCAATATTTTGTTTTTCAGTTAATCCTTTAGGATTACTTATGACAAAAAGAATGAGTTTTACTCTACTTTCTAACATAGTGACTGTAGAAATTATAGTTAAACATGCTAGTATATTTTTATGATATTGATATTTAAAAGGAAGTCTGAGATTCTGAAGAGTTTCTGTAAGATCATTTCAGTTCATGTCATGCATAGACAGGGATGATTGTAATATTTTTTACATGTAAATTCAGGATGCAGACAAAAATTTCAACCTAATACCACTTATCTTACAATCATACAAAACTAATGTTAATGAGACCAGCATAGTGTCATTAATAAATAGCCATCAGTATTGCTGGAAAAATGCAATACTGACCATGTTCCTGTTCTTAGACAAAGAAAAATCCTTGAATACCAATGGATGCACCTTTATTTCCTCCTTGATATCTACTGTTTTCCACTTAGGTGTACCAGCACCTTGATCATCCCTATAGCAAAACCCCTGAGTGTGCCCTTTTCAATGAATTAAGCTTTCTTTTCAACGAATTAAGAGAATTTTGTAACTATCTTGTGTATAAATACATTTTTTCCATTTTCCCTTACTTCCTGTCTCATTTCGCACATCACAGTCTGTCTGTTCAACAGTTGCTTCCAAATTCATATCATCTATTGTATATTCTGGAATGTATTCATACAGTTTCCTCACACTAGTGAGGCAATATGATGTATAAATCTATGGGGCTGAAATGTTTCACATATGAGTATGGCCTGGAGTCACATTCCTGTGCCTATAAAAAAGGAAAGAGAGCCAGAGATTTAGCTTATTGGCTCAAGCAGTTGCTTGGTAAGTGCAAGGTTGTGAGTTTAATCCCTAGTTAAAAAAAAAAAAAAAGAAAGAAAGAAAGAGGTAAAAAGAGACACAAATTCAAGCAATTAGAAATGAAAAGGGGTAAGAATAATGGATCCCACAGAAATCCAGGAGATTGTCAATACCTACTGTGAGAACCAAAATTCTAATAGGATGGGAGGCACAGACAAAATGGACAAGTTCCTACACACAATCTAATTTTCAAATCTAAAGAAGAAATGGAAATTCTAAATAATTGAACATTAGTCAATAAAATTGAAAATGCAGTTAAAATGTATCAACAGTGAAAATCCCAGGACCTGACAGATTCATTGCTGAACTGTACAAAAATTTAGAGAAGAACTAAGGAAACTAACTTTTTAAAGAACTTGAAAGTAAAGAAATATATCCAAACTCGTTCCTAGAAGAAAATATTACCCTGATTCCAAGACCCAAGAAGAACACAACCAAAAAAGCAAACTATAGGTCAATCTCTATAATTAGCATAGATATAATAATAGTTAATAAGATACTGTCAAGAAGAATGCAGCAAATCATAAAGAAGAATACACTATGATCAAGCATGATTCATCTCAGGGATTCAAGGAGGTTTGAACATAAGCAAATCAATAAATGTGTTACAACATCAAAGACGTAAATCACATGGTCATCTCAATAGAAGCAGAAGCACTTGACAAAGTCCCAAACCAATTCATGAAGAAATCCTACAGGAAATTGGAATAGTCTTTATATCAATCTGATAAAAGCCATCTATGACACAACATAGCCAACACCATACTCAATAGTCAGAAGCTGAGTTTTCACTCTAAAATCAGAAACAAGAGAATAATGTTCATTATCACCACATCTATTCAAATATGGTCCTGAAAACATTGCCAAAGCAAATAGGGAAGTGAAAAATAAAAGGAATAGAACCAGGAAAGGAAAAAGTTGAATTACCATTATCTGCAGATGATATAATACTCTACAGAAAAAACCTCCAAAATTACACCAAAATGTTCATTTCTAACTCCCAGGAAGACAGATGAAATTCTTAATTTGAATGAAATATCACCACCAATTCTGAAATTACTGTATTAGAGGCTTCTGGAATATCTGGTTAAGCCTGCTCTAGTTGAATTATTTTGATAGTAACTAAAGCTTTGACAATGATTTCTTGTCTTCCACTTTGCCAGGTGTTTGAGACAAAATGGCACCATTTTCATGTATTTTTTCTTATTTTTTTGTTCATTTAAGAACCCACTGAAAAGCTGAACTGAAGACCCATATACTACTTATTTCTTTTTCTGCACAAACAATAATCATCACAAAATTTCAAATTTTGAATTGTCTGATTCATGTAGGCCTCTAACATATGGATAAAAAATTTTCAATTATTTCCTCAGTGCAGTCTTCTTACTTAATTCTTGGGATGAAGTATATCATGGATTGAGCATAATGCAAAAGGCCTCATATGATGGATATTTGCCTTCAATTACCATTTTTCATGGACTGAAACAATGACATGTGCCATCTCCCTCTGAGTTGTAAATAACATTTGTATTAATTATTTTTGGAGTTTTGAGATATAATATAATGTGAGCTCATCTAATGCATTTATTAAAACATAAGACATTAAATGTAATATATAAGCTTCCTCAAAAATCTAGAATTAGGGCCTAGGGATTTATCTCAGTAGCCTGGCAAGTGCAAGGTCATACGTTTGATCCCTGGCACCAAAACAAAACAAAAAACAAAACAAAACAAAAGAACTAGAATTAGAAGTCTCATTTAATTCAGTTACTCCTTTCTGAATATATTCCCAGAAAAATTGAAAAGGTAATGCAACAAGTGATATATGTGTACTCATATTTATAGCAGCATAATTTGTAATAGCTAAATATTAGAAACAACCAAAATGGCAACAAACTCAGAACGGGTAAAAAAGTTATATTTTTATACAATACAATATTATTTAGTTATAAAACAGGATAATCTTGAGGCTTTTATAAGCAAATGGAGGCAACCTGAGACCATACTCATAAGCGAAGTAAATCAAACTCACATTTATAAATATCACATTGTTTCCCTAGTACAAAAAAAATGATAAAAATCTGGGAGTAATGAGATCCAAAATATACAGTAGATCCTGGAAAAATGAAAGAGAAATAAAGTGCTCAAAAGTATGATATGAGAAAGGAAAAACTAAAGAAAGGAAAAGATTATATGTATGTTGGTAAACATATATAAATGTGTATATGTGTATGTATGCTAGATAGATAACTATACTACTAATCTCTCCTAGTTCATCAGAAAGAAGACGTTCCTGCTGTCATTGATTGATCACTTCTTTTCATAGATTTTGTAACCTGAATAACTAGTTCTGAGATAACAATATGCAATATACTAACTAGTGTTCTCTACTATTTTTCTTTTTTAAAATTCTGTATCACTTCAAACTTTTATTATGCTTTGTTTGTTTAAATAAAAAATGTAAAATACATAGTGTATCCCTAACAACTCTAATTATAAATGGCAGGAAGCCAATTCAAATATATTTGATATACAAAGTTGGAAGAGTTCAGAGAAAAGATCAATTTCTCGACACTGCATGAGAAATGGGGATTTGATGCTTCCAGAAAATTCCATGTATATATTTTTCTAGTTTCCGCTTCTTTACTTTTATGTTTGGTTTTCAGAAATCCTTCTCAACACAGCTGAGTCTCTGAAAGTGAGACATTATCCTCAGTCATAGAAAAATCTTGCAGTAAAAGACTTACAGAAGATCTTCAAACTTTTGTACCTCTAATCTGTATAGGGAGTTTTTATCAGAGCAATTTTTTTCCTCATCATTAGAATCATACAGCTCAATATTCTAGGCATTCACTAGATGACCATGACCATGCTGATGTTTACCATCTTTCATCCGCATCTTTGTTTCTTTCTCTGGGGCTCAGGTGGATTTCACTAACTTGCTGTAGCTGTGAGATCTAAATCTACTGAACACTGAGTCTGTTTTCTTAAGACTCACCTCTGATTATCTGTGTCTTTATCCTTTATTCCAGTCTGTAACCCATTCTTGGGAATAACACAATACTTTGCTTGTAAAAATCTCTCTATCGTATTTGTTATACTTGGTCATGAAGGTTGTTATACAGGTTCATGAAGATCAAAGTTGCTTTCTTGAAGACTAAACTAACTTTTTACCCTTAGGCTTTTCAATCACCTTTTCAAACCTGAGATGGCTACCAAGACTGATGTATAGGTTTGGCATGTCCTACCATACACACCTGATAAAGGTTTCCTTCTTACTACATTTAGCTGTTAAGAAATAGTGGAAATATTATGGGATGGGGAGATTTATGTCATGGTGACATGTCCTCCATAGAGAATGTCAGAGTGGAATATTTTTCCCTCTATATGTGTGTCTGTTTTCTGTCTTCATTTTCATTCTCATCAATTAATCCACAGACACATCTCCAAAAAGGGCACTAGAAAAATCTATATAATGTCATCTCTTACAATAGTAGGTAAATATTAAGAATTTATTATATGTAATACTGATCTTTTAGTATTTGGATAAGTGTGTCTTCAAAGTTTGAGTTTGTATACATGCTTTGAAGGAAAAGTATTGAATCTTCTGTAGTATTTATGGAAAGAAAATACATGATCCAGGCATTTCATTCACAGCTCTTTTGTCCTTATTATGCTTGTGTCTAAATTTATAATAGTCCTTTGATTTCACATAAATTCATAAATTTTTTGTATCCTACTTTCAGACTCATACACCTACTAATCTAGAATAAAATAGTGTCTCATGCTATATACATAGAAACTCAACTTCACTAAGAAAAATGGAACTAGAAAATGTGACCCTTTTCCATGGTAGCCTTGCTATTGCAAAGGTACTGTGCACAAAGTTTTGCAATTGATTTGGATTATACGTAAGTGACAAAAAGAAAAGTAAAGAAATTTGATTCTTATTGCAATATTTCTAGAATATGGTAAAAACCAAAATACTGTCAAAGCGATAGCCACTAATAGGTTACCGTGAGATCGGTGAGATCTATGGAAGACCAGGGTACGACACTAGGGAAGGAAAGAAAATCAATTCAGACTTTTATGTAGAAATTACATGAGTTCCTCATCCTTAGCTTCTTTGAGCAGTCAGGATCTATAGACGGACTTGTAACTGCTCTAGGTTACATTTACCTCCTACTCCTCAGGGATCAAAAGTCCCTGGAGTTCTTCAGTTTTCTCCTAGCCAGGGAGCATACTGGTACTGACCATACCTGAACAGATGACTCCTGCATCTTCATTGTGCCCGCAGTTGCGATTCTCCTGGCTGTAGGCAATGCACTCCCCCAAGTTGGACTCCTTTCCTGTGCATGTCACCTCATTCAGCCAGATGGGCCCTGATCCCACACCAAAGAAAGCAGAGTGCTTGGCTTCAATGGCCACTCCACAGCCCAGCTGTCTGCACACTACTTGGGCATCATTCAGATCCCATTTGTCATCGCAGATTGTGCCCCAAGAGCCATAGTAAAAAATTTCCACTGTCCCCTCACAGTGACTCTGCGTGTTCACCAGGCGAAGTTGTGGGCTCACTGTGGAAAGAAAGAAGAACAGATAGTTTCATTTCATTTAAAAAAGGAGGTATATAAAAGCAAAAAATTAAGTCATGATTTCAGCAGTTGAAGGCAGTCAAGAAGGGGAGAAATGGAGTTACGCAGTTCAAACAAAAAATTTCAGTAAATAGGAAGAGCAAGTTGCAAAGATTTATTGTACAATATTATGATTATAGTTCATAGTGATCAGAAGTTAAAAATTTTCCACAGAGCAAATTTAGATATTCTCACCAAGGTTTTTAAGTATATGAGGTAAAGTGAGTGTTATTTATCTCAGTGTGTATGTATCCTGAAATGTCATGAAGTACTTAGTAAATTGCATCCAAATAATGTTATATCCAGATTTGAAAATATTAATTAATTTGAAATTAACTATGTAAAAGATGAAGAAAATAAGAAGGAAATCCTGCGATGTGCAACAATTTAAATGGGCCTGTGAAAAACTAAATTAAATAATACTTTGTAAATCTACTTATACCTAGTATGTAATGTAGTGAAACTCACGCACATCTAAAATGAGAATTGTTTCCAGGAGCTAGGAGGAGGAGCAAATGATGAATTATTAATAATCGGCTATAAATTTTGAAGTATGTAAAATGAAAAGTTCTAGAGAAGTGCTCAATAACAACATTAAATTGCATAAATAAAAATCAATGGCTTACTTTTAAATATTCATACCACAACTTATGGCATCAAAATATAAATATTCTCACACTTTTTAGTGTGTAAAATCTATTGAATTGTACACATTTAGTGATGTGTTTATTTTTCATCTTGATTAAATTGTTACTGAAAAATGCTTTATGGTTTACATTTTTCCTGTTCTTTTTCCTGGTATCAGTAAGTTGAATTTCTTCGTGCTTTTCATTGATAACAACTGATATGTGTCAATGTTAACATTTTTAACTAACCAAAGTTGAAGATTTTTTTCTCTGTTTTAAATTTTTCTTCTAATTTTTGTTTCAATCTTGTATACCAATCAAATTTGGGGAGCTCTTCTATTTTGCTACTTGAATTTTACAATATCAGTGTTTTTTTCTAACTCTTGGATTCTAGGTTATAGATTTCTATTAGACATGGTTTATTACATTACAAAAATTTAATTTCATCACATCTTCATTAACATTATTTGCTGATGTTCAATTTTCTTTTCATAGATCCCCATATATTTGAATGAATGTTGTCTAGTTTCTCAATATTTGGAAATTACTGGACTGATTCTTAAGTTACAGATTTGATTTTATTATGGCGAGAATATTTTTCCTGATTTCAGTCATTTGAAAGGTTTTACACTATCATATGGCAAAATGTTATGGATAGATATTCCATGTGAATTTACATGAATGCAAATTTTTTCACTATTCTTTTGAGTGTTAAAAGTGTGGTATTCAGTTAAATTTGTAGATTGAGTTTGTTTATGTCTCTTACATACTCTTAGTTTACTTGGGTTACTTGCTTTTGAAGAATAATATCACAATTTCTTCATTCTACTATGGAATGTGTTTTTTTTTTTTTGCCTTGTGAAATATTATTCTGTGTTTCAAACTGTGCTTTGCCATTTTTCTTATATTTTGATATGTATTATAAATTACACTTATTTACCTCATTATAATGCTGAAAAATTCTGTCATAAATTAAACTAGTACATCTGGTTGTAAATTGTTGTAGGTTGTAAATTTTGAGATATTTATATGACTAAACTAGTTTTCCTACATTTTATACTTAAAATTTATATTGCTTTCATCATTTAATGTTTCTTTTGCTCTTAGGTATAAGGTGAGTATCTTACACACAACATAGAGAGTTATGAAGTCAAATAACTGCAGTTTGAAAATAATCAGAAAAAAGGCTCTATTTTTTGTTAGAAGGATGATAAAAGTGCAGAATTCCCGTCTCCATAGAAAGATCACATGGAAGCTATTGAAATCACCTTGGTGAAATCTCAAAAATGTGGCAACGACCATGTGTTCTGTGAATTGAGTAAAAATTCACATTTAAAGTATAAGTGAATCATTTTTCATGTCTATATCTTATAATCTGAGCAACTACTATGAAGATAACAATATGCAATACATTAACCATTGTTAATCTATTATGTTTTTGAAGCTCTGTATCACCGTTGTAAATATTTTTTTTTTCATTTTAAAACAAAATACTTTGAGTGAATCAATGATTTCACTTAGATTCCAATATTCATTTACTCCACTGAGATGCCATACCGGAAGACAAACAGAAATTCACAGGACCCAGGGTATCCAAAAGGGAAGGAGAACAGACGAGGCGTTATGAAACAGTTCTCAGCATCTATGCTATTTTACCTCATGGGAAATAAAGAAGGATGCCAAAGAGTGGAATACTTGGAGCCAAAAAAGAAACAAGGCAGAAGTTATAATCCACAGAGACCTACCTGTCAGTTTTAGTAATATTCATAGTGTCTGCTATGAATAGCAGATGATCAGAGATACCACGTGAAAGCACAACTCACTCACAAAGCTAGGCTGCTTTCTCTTGAACAAGGTGGAGCTTTACTTGATTCAAACTTTTAGATTGCTAATTCCAAGGCACAGCCTCAGTACACACCCTGAGTCCCATGCAGGGAGGGAGGGAGAAGGCTGTGACAGCAAATATGGTTTTTGTATATAGCGACAAAATTGTGTGCTTGTATTCTTCAGAAGATGTTTAAGAATGGTTCATAGAAGCATTATTTGCAAAAATGTCACTTGAAACTGCTGAACGTTGTCACACAAACAGAATGAATGAACTACAAATACCTTCAATAATATGGATAATCTTATACATGTAATGTTAAAGGAACAAAATCAAGTATGAAACAACATGCACTGTATGATTCCAGAAATGTAAAACTGAAAAATCATCTGGTTATTAAATGGTGTTTGAAGTCAGGGAATTGCTCAACTTTTTTGACAGAGGTATGAGGTAATCTTCTTGAAGACAATATGTGCCTCAATTTCTTGATTTTACAAAATGTTCATGTATTGTTTATGTATATTTTCTGTATTTTATGTTTGAATATGAATTTTGAACTAAAGTTTTAGATTATAATCAAATTTTTAAGGTTAACTTTATTATTATGCTAAACTATCATATTAATATAAAAGTTATTATTCATCATTGACAAAATATTGTCTTGATTCAAAATGATGAACTTTAAATATGGGAGGATAAATTGTCAGAACTCCATGAGTAATAGAAAACTTATTTATTTATATTATTCTGAGTTGTTAACATTTGAGAAATTATAAAGAAAATAAAATTAATGTCATGATTTTTATCAAAAATGTGTGTTTACACATATGAATAAATATGGGAACTTTGTTATATTTTGTATTTATTATACATGTAGATTTAACTTTATATCTAAAAACAACTTGAATCATGAAATTTATTGTATCTCTTTAAATATATATATTTTCATGTTTGGACAATAGAGTAGATTTGTTGTTTTTATTTTGTGTTCTAAATCTGCAGTTACTTTCCTAATTACTCTGTTGATAAGTTTATCATTGTTGTTTGGTAGATTGATCACTTTTTCACTCAGGTTTAGTGCTCGTTGTGAATTATTTCTCTGTTGTAACACTGGTTCCAACTAGAGTACAGTGAAAGAGTAGTGTATTGAGCAGTGGATTGCACTAAAATCTCTGGGGATGCTCTGGTATACACAGAGGAAATACTCAAACAACGTCAGGAACAAGTGAGGAGAGCAGCCTGCATGTCTGATATGGGAGCCATGAGGAAGTCAGAAAAACAGATAGCTTTGGGACAAGATCTGACAGGAGCCCTTTCAATGATGTGATGCACTAGACTGGTATTGAAGAGCAGTTCAAGAGTCGTTATGGCAATCCTTTAAATCAGTGTCACACAAGAGTCAAATGTGATGTGGTCCTGTTATGGCTGCTGGTGGGTGCTGAACCAAGGCTCTTAATGAAAGCATTTCTAATGGAGATGTTTATGAGCAACAAATTATAGGCCAGAAGGAGACAACATACCATCAACGAAAGAGTTTTCTTCCCAGAGTGTGTGAAATCTGCCCATTTGCCATCTAACTCTTGTTCTCTTTTCTTTATTTCCTTTCAAATGCTCCTGTAGATTCCAACAATCAGCTCCAAGAAGACAGGAAGTTTTCTTTAGATTTAATTTTGTGCTATTTTTACAAGTGCCCTCAAGTGTTCTTGACACTTGAAACTTAAGAAATATTTGAAGAGTATATTAATGAGTGAACAAATACATCAACAGATAACAAGAAATATTTAGGCCCCATCAAAGTCAGATAAGGGATTTGCAGTATAATAATATGTAGCCATACATTAAATAGTTTTAAAGTAGAAAATAAAATACAGTATGTGAAAATTATAAAAGATAGTTCAAAATGATCAGAAATATTTGAAAAAGAAATGAAAGAACTTTTAATTAGGAAGAATTTTATGAAAATATTCAATTGATGAACTATACCTTACATGTGTACAGGTGAAAACAAAGTAGAACTGGGAAAAATGTAAAATATTACCATTTATATAAAGTAAAATGAAGATAATTGAAAAGAGTTAAGAATTTTGGAAATTATCATGAGTATCTATTTTAAACAATGTGTAATTCAAACTGAAGAAAGCAGAAAGGAAGTGGGAAGAGAATAAGAGAAAGAATTTGGAAAAAGTTGTATTTGAAAACAGTGTGTATTTTGAAGTAACACAAAAACTAAAATTGCATATTTAATGAGATAAATAAATCCATTATACTTAGTGCTGGAAGACAGAGGCTGTCAGGCTAGATATTTTAAGAAATATGGTCAAATATTCTTTGTAAGAGAAACATCTAAAAGATTAGAACATAGCAAATATGAAAATAATAAAGTGAAGATAGATACACTGTACAGTGCAAAAGAAAACTTGTAAAACCAAAAATATTCATGGTAGCAGGAAATATTCTAGAATTTGAGATTCCAGAATCATTAGTAGTTGCACTGTAAAATAATAAAAATATTTCAATTCATTACAAAAGCACAATAATTAAGAACCTGTGAAAATATAATTCAAAGTCTCAAATGTATAATTCAATGATGAATCCACTCAGGAAGATCACGATTAACATAGGAAATAATAGATAAACCAGAAAAATTACTAGCAAAATTTGAAAACCTGAATAGGCTGTTAACATGCTGTTGGTTCTATACACAAAATAAAGAGCATATATCTTTTTCCCAAGAACACAAGAAAAAACAACAGAAATGGTAAGTGTGTGAGGTAGCCCATATGTTAATGTCTCAGTTTAGGCATTCAATAATGTGTCCCTATTTCAAAGAAACACCTTGTACTTGGCAAATACATGCAGTTCATATTTCTCACTTAATGGAATATGAAGATTACAACTGAGTGGTAGAACATTTGTAAAGTATGGATTCAGTTCCCAGCACTCATTCCCCCAAATAAGTTGGAATATCACCGTGGTCCCCCATAAAATTCTAAGCATGTGTCAAAATTCTACTGAATGTAAACTAAATATTCTGACCATAATAGAATCATGTTAGTAATAAATTCAAAAGAGAAAGGAAAACAGATTAATAAAAAAAAACTTTTCACTAATTTCTAAGTCAAAAAACAAATAATAACACATTAATGGTTTATAGGAAAATGAAATTACACTGTATTGAATATGTAAAGTTCAGCTAAGGCAATACATAGAAAACTGTGATTTCAAATATTTATGCAATAATATGATAAAAACCTTACAAATTAATTCAATCATAAGTACTTCAATTTAATGGAAAAATGAATCACTTAAAAGAAAGTAGATGACAGAATAATAGAAAAAACTTATGACAAGGAAGGTGGTAATATAGAGATGTTTATGATATTAAAAGATAGTCTTTTAGAGATTCATAAAAGAAAAAGATACGTCAAATTCTGGTTATGTTTTGTAGGTAGAGATGATAGGATTTCTCTGACAGATTTTGCATACCATGAGAGAGAAAGTGAGTCAGGAATGACCCATGACTTTGGTTTAACCCATTGGTGAGACAAATATTTTTTAGGGAGGGGAAAGAAGAAACCCAAGTGCAGGTTTGGACACATTAATCTATATCATCTATCTGAAATTCATGTGTAGTATTCCAGTAGACAAGGGATATGCAAATTGAGATTTAGATGGCAATATGTAGGGTAGAGATATAAATTTGTGAGTTGATGCTGTAAGAGAAAGATTTAGAACCATGAGATAACATATGATCAACAGAGGCACAGTGGGAAAATTAAAGCCAAGAGTCCCTGGACTTATCCATAAGAAACTCCAAAAGAAGAGTTATGGGAGAAGGGGTGGCCCTAGCAATCAATAACAGCTGTAATTGACGTAGAATAAAATATAAATGTGGCACCTTACAACTGAATAAAAGTAGAAAACAAAGTGAATAATTTACTATGTCTATCTCCTAAGAAAAGCCAAACAAAAGGAAAATGATGATTGAAAATTGATAATTTACAAGTGTGGGGATCACTGTTGGGAATCATAACTGGAAGTTTCAGGAGGTGAACGACAAGAATATTTGCTCTCATTACATTTGAAAACCAGTGGTGAGAATAAAAGAGCAAACAATGGGTGCAGACAGCTTTTGTGAGAGTTTGCTGAAAAGAGGAAACAAAAAAGGAGCAGTCACTGTTGAGGCAGTGAGATCAAGAAAAGTGTATGAAATTGTGTTAAGATTAGAGAGGAGACATATTTGTAGATTGGTAAAGAGTAGAAACAGAAAATTAAAGAGATGTGGGTGACATAGATGTGAGAGATGGGGATGTGTTACTGAAGTACAGTCATGAGTGGACATGGTGGATGTATTGGCTCTATACAAAGAATAATTAAACCTCAGGGTGTGTGAGTGCCTATCATATCCACACTCACAGGAGAAAGTGGGAGGATGGCTTGAGCCCAAGAGTTTGAGATTAGTCTGAGCAGCATAGAGACACCCAGTTTTCAGAGTCAAATGAATGAATGAATGAATTAATTAATTAATACAAAAAAGAGGATAGCGATTGGTGATATATTAATAGATGTAGTGGTAAGTATCTTGGAAAAGCTTTGTTGATTGCTGTGTGTTGGAATCACAATATTGCTTATTTGCTTTTAGCCTGGTCATTGTGTGATCTAATGTGCTTCTTTTTACTTCATCATAGACTAGTGAAGCTTGTGTTATACCTGTATACTTTTCCTTTGTAATGAAACTAACGTATCACATATACAGTAAGTAATTTCTTACTAGTGCAAATGATATAACACTTGAGATGCATTAAAATAAACTCAGATACACTAAGCTACACTTCTTTTTCTTTTATTTGAGATGGATATTAAAATAAAATTTAATTGCTCTTTAGTAAAAGTAAAAAAAAAAATTAAATTACAGCAATAAAACTTCCTTAATAGAAATTTCAGGATGAAGAATAGCAATTAAGTAACACATTGAAAGAAGTCCTGAAAATAAAATATTATAGCTTTGATCAGATAAAACACTTTTCCTTTTACTTGACCATGAGAAAATTAATATGAAAAAAATTGAGGAAAATATTTTTAAAATGTGTGGGAAAACTGTAATTGGTGTGACTATACAAACAATTTCCGTAAATCAGTAAGGATGATGAACATTGTAGGAAAAACAAGAGTTAGTTCAGCAGATATCTCAGGACTGCAGTGAAAAGAACTTTTAATTACAGTGTTAATATAAACTAAAACATAACAAAACTACATAATGTAAAATGATATAAAATTAATATTATTGAGAATTAAAATTATTGAAAACTATTGTGATGGATCAGGAGGCAATGTGTATAAGAAGCCTCCTGAATCAAACTACAGAGACAATATGAATGGCTTTTCTGCCATGGCAGTGGAGTTTTCTAATAATTTTCTTTGTCACAGCATTGTAAATGAAAATGTAAATATGTAACAAATAGAGAGAGATAAGTAATTTATAATTCAATAATAAAATGAAATTTTAGCAATTTTAAAAATGGTATAGAAAATATTTGAATCAAATGATCAGCTAAGAAGCATTGTCTTGATTATCCCAAGATCATTCCCTGGAGCCTGGGAGCTAATACAGTATTTCTGCTGCTGTTAAGGAATGAGTTGTTGCTTACCTTGAGCACCTGCTAAGACAACGAGGAGGAGAGAAGGAAGTCCCCAGATAAGGCAGTGTCCCTGCATGGTGGCTCTGTCTGTAGATCGTGGTCTCAGCTTGTTTAGATATTACAGGGAGGTGCTTACCCCTTAATGGGGCCCTTACAGAAGGGAAGGGCTTACATAGTCCTATCCCCTGATATGGCCATGTGCTAGGAACCAACAGAATCTCTGTTTAACATCTTCCCCATCATCAGAGACAGCAAGAAAGGAAACTCTCTGAGCTTCAAACAGCACACTGCTGCTGAGTCTTAACTATCTCAGCATACGAGATACAAAGATTTCTGACATCAGATGTCTTTTTGTCCCCAATAGTGACACAAAAACCATATTAAAATTATACATGGCTTTTTTGATAACCAGGGGTCTGGCTCAATGCTGATTCAACACCAGGTGACTTAGGTTCCATTTACCTGTAGTCTCAAGAAAAAAGTGGCAATTGTTTCTTAATGAGGCCTAGGAAACAAACGTTAGACAACCAATACTTTGTGAACACAAAAAATATAAAGTACATAATGGTTAAAAATAAGTGAGTAGGAATTTGGGATTAGAAAGATTAAAAATATGGGGTAAATGTAAAAAAACAAAAAACAAAAAACAAAAAAAAAAACAGGTTGATGTTAAGTGGATGTGAGCATTGAGTTTGTCTGGTTCACTGTCCCTTCCTCTCATTGCCGGTTCATACTAGAATCCTCATAGAATTTAGGACTCTCTTGGTAAAATGTGTGAATTTATGAAGTCAGTCCTTCCTCACCCATCAGAGAACTTTTTTATTCAAAAGACTGCATTTGGCTTGTACAGACACTGCCTGGGAATAAATCATATTCTTATAATCACAGATTACAAAGTTGTTATGAGATGAGATCCCATAATATGAATAAGCTGTCTTTACGTGACACTCCAGGCTGCACAGGGGCTTCCTCCTGACGGGCTCTGCTTTTCAGCATTTTCTCTGTGTGCCACCTTACATTTATTTCTGTAGAAATCATACAATCTACTTTCCAATTTTTTGTTGTTTGTGCTCAACAATTAATTGGATGACTTTAAGTACAGTGCTCAAAAGTGGAACCAGTTTTACATTGATGTCTCACTGTTGCTTATCAAAAAAAAACATGTTCTCAACCATTTATCATTTTAAAAGTTTATTTGCTTTTTTGTACAAGGATAATTATCTTCAGAATTGCAGAAATCACAAATCATAGGTTGTGCAGATTATATAAAATAATATACAGAGGGACTTTATGCCCTGAATGACACATGTTGAGAAATAAATTAAGGTTAATTATTGAATCCCACAAATCTTTTAATTCACCTGTTACGTCCAACTCTTCATTGAACATATCCTAGATATATGGTAAAATGTTAAGCTGGAAATTATCTGAATCTTCCAGGTAGCTATGAAAACTGAAATTATACTAGTAAATACAGTAACAAATGGACTGAAATAGGTTACAGAGGAGATACGAAGGGAAAGCAGTGTGAAAAATGAGCTCTTACACAGAAGAAACACAATTGACATAGATTTTGGAAATATAAATAGAAAGGTTGAAAGATGATCACAGAATCTGAGGTGGTCAAACATCACTGTCTGAATTTGGATGGCTGGGAAACTTCTGGAGGACCTGGCAGAGAAAATTCCTGTGTGAATGTGAGTAGATCATGGAGGCATGACCTTAAGTATTTTATCAGGGACCAGCACCCGCCTGCATTGCTTCCCTCCTTCACTTCCTGGGCTTCCATGTACCAAGCGCTTTGCACTGCTTTCTCCTTAGACTATCATGTTCCTTCCCTGGATCCAGACTACTCTGCATTGAATCTTTAAAGCAATGATCCAGCTTCAACATTTCATTTTTTAAATTGTGGGTATCAAGTATTTACATGGTATCTGCAATAAAAAAAGATAAGACAGAAAAGTTTCCTTCGAAAACTCTATTTGAAAGAAGACTGAAAAGATTTGAAAGTTTGCTTCAAAAACGGTATTTGAAAGAAGTTACTATATATTGGAATCCCTGGTTCCCTGGAACGACATCACCTTTACAAATTAAGCAAGCTCTTCTTGACCAGTATTTAGAGAAGAATTAGTGGGAGCTTGTCAGGCAGTCAAGGAGGGTGGAAAGTACTTTAGATAGTAGCAAAGTACATGAAAATTCCCTGAGGTAGGAAAGACTTCTAATTTTATGGGATCTATTACAAGGTAAGGAGCCCTGAAACATATAAAACAATGAATGTAGGAACAAGATTTGGTGGAGAACATAAAGGTGAATGGAAAGAGGATCTTGTAAACTATGAGAGTTTTGTTTCAATTGTAAAAATGGTAGCTTCATAGTTTAAGAGATAATTCTATTTGATTTTATTAAGCTTAAAGTAGAAAGCAGGGAAACACAGATGAAACATTGTGGTCATAAGTATGTGGGTGTAGGAGAAACAATGTAAGCCTTTGGTTTCTTTCTTTCTTTCTTTCTTTTTTTTTTTTTTTTTTTTTTTGGATCTGACCATGTCCACTTGGTTCAAATTGTGTCTCACTATTTCCCTCTCTTTCTGTTTCTGACTAACTTCTTTTGGAATTCTGCGTATTTTTCAAATGCTAATATTTTATATAATTATTTCTAGGTTCTCTATTTTTCGCATTGACCAACAACACATTTCCTCCTTGCTGTAACTGACAGATGCCCTGACATTGAATGGAGTAACTTATTGGATTTCATTCCATTTAGGTGTGCATAGTAATCCATATATTCTTGTTTTTTTCATTTATTTGTTGATGGACATTTTCCATGAGATATCAATGTCATGAGGACTGTTGCTCCCTCCTAGACAATGTATTATTTTCCTAACATTAAATGTTTTTCTTTGTTTTTCACTTTCAGATATTGAATTATGTATTGTCTTTTGCCAGTTTCCTTGCATTTATGTTGTTTTGCATGCTGCAGTTTGATGCCTTTGCAAAACTTGGGAAAACTTCATTTGTTAATATTGACAGTATTCGTTAATCTCAAGTGTTTCTCTCTTTCTGTAGTTAAAACTGCATGAAGGTTAAATGTTTGCTTTTCCACAGATTTCAAGGCCTTTTTGTTTTCACTATTGATACATACATAGTTTTTTCCTGTCATGTGAATTTTCAATTTTTGTCCTCTGTATCTTTTGTTGTATTTGTCTTATTTGTTTAGGACTTTAATTACTATATTTTGGAATCCCTGGTTCCCTGGCAGGACATCACCTTTACAAATTAAGCAAGCACTCCTTGACCAGTATTTAGAGAGAAATCATCTCAAACCTTTCATCTGAGCTCCTCTTTGGGAACGACCCTCTGCTACAGAGAATTTCTTCACTGAAGGCCACACTTCTGCCAACAGCCATGTGATAAATGCCTAGTAAAAGTGGGACCTTAACCAAACATTGCAGAGTTGTATAAGGACAACTCTGAATGAACATCTTAGATTCTAATTTCCCCATGGTTACCAATGATGTACTTGGTCTTTAGTTGAATTCATTGTGCTCTTTTTCCATCAGATGGATAGTGATTTAACTTCACTAGAATCAGAAGCAATTTGAGTTTCAAGTTTGCCTTTATTACTTACAAGGGCTTATCCATCTGCACTTTATTCTTACTGGAGAAGTCTTACAAGGGTGTGTATTACATTGATGGAGGATCCTGCACCCCACTGCTTTGAATAAATGGGTTCATTTTAATGATTGAGTTTTGGCTAAGAATCCATGATCAAGGAATCGAGGTCTGATTACACACTCAATATCATCCCTGGTAACAAATGATAGAACAGCTGCAAGTACCAGCTTGAACACAGCACTAGGAGTGATGGATCTGTCCTCTAAAGCTCCGTGTATTTTGTCTAAGTCAACAACAATGATATGGTGTCAGGTTTCAAATAGGTCTGGACACATGGATCTGACCATCAGGGGAGGCAAGAGGGGCCAAGTTACATGAATGGGCAGTAGCACATTTTGAGGAATTTAGGGTTCCCATTCTTAGCTCCAGGATTTGTAGATTTATAAGTTATGAATTAACAGGAAGAAAATGATCTATCAGATTACACAGTAGGTGTCTTTTTAAATTTAAGAGTTTGAGAGCTGTAGCTTTATTTCTTGATCCTCATGAAAATTTTCAGTAAGGAAAAAATCACTTATCTCTTTTACATTCATCATCAAGAGGAAAGCTTCTCCATAAAAATGTTCAAAAAAGAACATATTTTTCATCCAAAGAATCTATTCTGGTTTCTCTTGGAACTCCATTTTCCAATTTTGATAAGAAATGTTTGGTATGGGCAACACAGTTTGAAAAAGCAAGGTGTCCAGATCTTAGATACCTCAGACAGAGAAAGTGAGTCATACTAATACATGTACAACAGTAGAGAACCTCACAGGAGGAAAGGCAAACCAAGAATGTTAAAGAGGAGGGAGATGTTTAATCATAGCTTGGGGCTTGAGAAACCAGTGTAGTGCTGGGTTCTGTACCTTGTTCTGTTAATTTTTTCCCACATTTCTCCAGAAAAAGGGACACACTAGAATCCAAGAAGAATAAAGTTATTGAACTTATTGTATAATATACACTTAATGTTCAAAATAAGTGAATCAGAGTCAAAGAAAGGACTGATGGGATGCAATGGTATGTTACTTTTCTGTGATACAAGCACATATTCTCTAGGTGCTGTGGGTACTGGGGCTGTTTACTCCTAGGAGATTGTCTTTTTCTGAAAGTCATAAAGTCCTAGGCTCTCTGACTCCATTTGGGACAACTACAAAGGACCACTTCAAATCTCTCTCCAGCCTCTCTGAGGCTTTGTAATGATTCTTTACAGGCCCACTCATCCACTGCCCAATATGCTTCTTTGCTCCCTTGAAAGTGTGTTCCTCAATTGACTTCAACTCTCCTATCTTGTTCTGGGGCATTATGTCATTTTTTTCTGTTATATTTTAAAGTATTCAGTGCCTCTATCTTATGCATTAGTGCTTGAGCTTTTTTTTGGGCTACGTATACAAGTTAACAAGGATTCCTTGGGCATTTTTTTACTCTATTTCTTTATGAAGGCAAAACAAAAGAAAAAAAATAGTATTACTAACATCAAAAACTCTGAGGCCTTCCATAACCCAGGCTCATGGTACCAGTTTTCCTCAGCATCCAAATGAGAATTGAACACAGTCTTGTAGATGACAGGACTCCTGATGTTTTCCAGGA